GTGTGTGTGTGTGTGTGTGTGTGTGTGTGTTCTCACCCTGAGGCTGTAGTACCAGCGGCGGTGTGTGACCTTCTTGCTGGCGACTTTTCCGGCGTGGTTCTGTCTGAAGTGCCAATCGAGGTGGTCGGCGTACATGTCGGTCTGGGTGGTGGTGAACCTCATGCTGCAGAGACAACACTGGTTCCCAGAGTACAGCTTCAACACCACACTCTCGTAACGCCTGTGGGAGGGGGGGGGGGGGGGTGGGGGGTTAGACGGGTGTGCAACGAGTGGTGAGAGAGCAGTCGATTGGCTCGTCTGTACTCACGGTTTCATGTCATCCACGGTGAAGCTGGTCAGGTCCGGGAGGTCGTCTTCCTCCTCCACCTCCTGCTCCTCCTCTTCCTCCTCCTCTGCTGGCGGAGCTGCCGGCGCCACAGTGGACGAAGATTCTGGAAAAACAAACATTTTCTTTCTAAGCATTTGAGAGTCATGTTTCCATAACAACATCATGAAATATCAGCAGGCTCACCGGAGCTGGTGGTCGGCGCAGCATCGGGCTGCGAAGGTTTGATGATGCCGGTGGAGATGAGTTTGGTCAGAAGGTCGTTGACATCAACCTGACCGAAGTGGTTCTCTGGAGGGACGAGTGCTGCAGCGACACAAACAGACGGCAGGTTAAAGGTCAGTCCGACAGAATGAGCTACGTCTGAACACAGCGTCTGATGTTAACATGTTTTAAACATGTTCTCATGACACTAACTAAAAAGAATTCTTACTCTGAGGTCCGAACGGAACAGAGTTCTGAGGCAGGAACGTCTGATTCATGTTCCCCAACAAGTTCACCTGAAAACAACAAGAACAAATAAAAGAGAACCTTCATCATTGATTTTATATTTTATGTTCAGCTGATTATAATTTAACTTAAAAGACGAGACACACTGATTGACAGGTGTCACTCACCGGCTGCTGCAGACCAACAGCGGGAGCGGCAGGGTTGTAGAAGGGGGCGGGGCCTGGCTGGGTAAATGGCGGCTGCAGGTTAAAGTTCACTGTCTGCAGGTTCGGCTGCGCCGGGAACGCCATCGGCCCCGCAGGGAACTGAGGGTTCATGGGCTCTGGGAAACACTGGGGGCCCATGTTGAAGTTTTGCTGGGGGGTCATCGTGTTATCATAAATGGGCGGGGCCATTGGCCTAATGGGGGGCTGCATGTTGTGTTGGGGAGGGAACCTGGGGGGCCCCTGCTGCCCAGGGGGGCCCTCAAAGTGTGCGTGTCCACCCTGATGGGGTACATTGGGTATGTCATACCTGTGATTGGGGCCTTCAAACCTCATGGGGCCCATTTGGTTTGGAGGGCCTTCGAAACGCAAAGGCCGCGGCTGCTGGAAGCCGACTGGTCCAGGGGCCATGTTGTTGTCAAAGCGTCTCGGTGGCTCAAAGTGCTGCATGGGCCCCTCGAAGTGTCCAGGCCCCTGACCCACAAACCGCACCGGGGGCTGTTGGCCCATGGGACCATCAAACCTCCCGGGGCCTTGAGGGTGGGGGTGAACATCAAACCTCCCCATCCCGTCTCCTCCTCTCATTGGACCGTGAGGCATGTGGGCGCCGTCAGGGCCGTCAAACCTTTCTGGTATGTTGTGATGTGGTGGTCTGCCGCCATCGAACCTGCCCGGCCCCTGGGGGTGAGGCCCTTCGAACTGTGATGAGTCATCGTACCAGCCGGGAGGGTGTGATCTGGGGGGGGATATGTGTTCGGGGCCATCATACCGGGATGGCGGGTGTCCTGCTTCGTGAGGAGGGGTGTGTCCCGGCGAATTGCTGTGCTGTCGAACAGACGACAGCGGTCCGCCACGTGCTGGTGCCTTGAGGATGGGGGGAGGGGGAGGCTGAGGAGGGGGGACATCAGGTTTGAGGGGCCCTTCATCAGAATGCTCACTGTTGGGGCTCTCAAAGCGCGGGACCGGGCTCATCTCAGCCGGGTCTTTCTGGTGAAGAGGTGATAGGCGCTCGCGCTCGAACCTCGGGATGGGGGTGTCCAGAGCGGTCGGACTTGGACAATTCCTGTGTACCACTGTGCCAGAGGGCAGGGGCCCCTCTGGCCTCCGGGGTTCAGGGTGTCTGGAGTCAACAGTGGGGGTGTACCTCCGTGGAGCGTCGTATCCGCTTTTCTGCTCCTCGCGTTCATCAAAAGACTGGCGCTCCGTCAGCGGTGAGGTCCACTCTCTCTCACCTGGAAAAAAAGGAAAATCATGTGACTTTAAAAGAGACAGGACGAAGTTTCACTGATCGTCACTGACGTCTAACATTATCGAGACCTGGTAAAGACCACACATGACAGAACAGGCAGCGACAGGTGGACACATGACGGGGTGTGGCAGTGACGGACTTACTGGACTCTCTGGGGTCGGCTCGTCTCCTGAAGCGAAGGCCCGGCAGAGACTTGAGGGTGGGGAACTCTTTGCCATGATTGTACTCCTCGATCATGGGGCCCAGCGGAGGACGTAACTCTTCTCGTTCTTTACTTCGTCTTTCACCTGAAGGTCACAAACCATCGGACGCTGTCAGTGAAACACAGACGCTCCCCCCCCCATTAATGAAATGATAATTTGATCATCTCTTTAACTTTAAACCCAAAAATGAATCAATCAGTGCAGTGATAGTTTGATAGTTCTACATCACGCTCGCCTAACCTTGTCTGTCTCGTGGCGCCCGGCTGTATTTATGTGGCAGTGGGTGTGCTCCAATGCTTCGACCCCCGCCCGTCTTCTCACCCGGGCCTGTTACGCCGACATCCTCCACATTCTCCTCGCCCTCCCACTCCTCTCCGGCCACTCGGTGGGTGACCTGCGTCTTCCTGAGCTTGGACTTGTGCTCGTAGTACGACAGCTCTGCTGCGTCCATGGCATCGTGGGGACGGGGCTGGGAGGATGGGGGCGCGGCCAGCAGCGGCTGTTTCTTGGCAAAGTTGCCAGAGTCTTCCCAGCTCTCTGAGCGCTGCTGCTTCTCCTCCTGATACTGGAAGAAATGTTTGATCTGGTGCACCACATTGAGGAAGTCCTCTTGAGAAATCTCGCCGCTCTCCAGACGTTTACTGGCCTGCGGAGAAACGCAAGATGAATACTTGTAATTGATTTGATGAATTGAAAAGAGAAAGATGCCTGACCAGCTGCTGATCTGAAGCCAGGTGACGTACCCTCCTCAGCAGGTCCTTCTTGGAGGCGGAGTTGAGGGCTTCAGGTATCTGAAGGTTGGCGTCCACGCTTAGGCGGTGCTTCATGGCTCGGGGGGTGGTGGGTCGAGTCGGGTTGTTGTACGGTTTGTGTCTCTGGGGTCCAGGCTTCATGTGAGCGTCGTCTGGCAACTTCAAACTGAAAAACAGAGTTTGAAGCAGAAACTCAGAAACTATCCCTGTGCATCAGTATTACATAAAACAATTATATAAATGATCAGATCAATCAAAAACTATATTAATATATATTGACGATGTCTGTGGTTGGACTCACTGTTTGTTCTCCTCCCAGCTGCTCCTCCAGCGATGAGGAGCCTCCTTCGTCTCCTTCGTCTCCTTAACACTTCCATCATGACTTCGTGGCGAGTGAGAGTCTCTGGACTCGAACTGCCGATCGTCCTGCGGCCTCTTCGACCTCCTGCTCTCTGATTGGCTCTTCTTGAGCGTGACCCGGTCGTCTCGGCCGGGCTTGCCATGCAGCGGTTCATCTGCACGGACCCTCCGAGGTTTCCCAGGTTTGTGAGAGGGTGACGGGGACAGCGAGCTGCTCCTGGCTCTGCCTTTCGGCGAGCGCCTGTCCTTCCTCTTTGGAGAAGAGGTGGGGGAGCGTGACCTGGAGCGTGTGCGTTTCCTGGCATGTGTTCTGGCGTTGCCTCCACTCTTGAACTCGACCTTCTCTGCCTCCTCGCGCTCATGTTTGGTGACGAACCCATTCACCAGCTTCCCTTTGCCGGACCTCTGCAGCTCGGCCCCCAGCACTGTCTCTTCTCTCTCCTTCTTGTCGTTGCATCTCTTCTTCTCTTTCAGCTCGTCGTCTTTGCTCTCTCCACTCTTGTCTTGTGTGCGTTTCCTCAGCCGTGGATCTTTCTTGGAGCTATCGGATGATTTCTGACCTTCGTTCTCCGCCTGTTTGTTTTTGCTCTGGACACTTTTGGTCATCGGAGACAGAGACTTGGACTTGGTCTTCTCCTCCAATGTCTCTTTCCTCAAGGTTCTGGTCTTGTCCGGTCGGATGGATTTCTCTGGCTGCCGTTTCTCAGGCGTCAGGGCAGAACTTCCTTTTTGGGGACTCTCTTTTTTCCCAGCAGGCTGTTCTTTGGGCTGGGACGCAGCTGGTGGGCCAGTGCGGTTTAGACGAGGGTCTCTGGTGGACGGCTTGGTGTCGGGCTGAGCCTGGGGAGGGATCCAGGGTCGGACCACTGGGGCAGTCTGGTTGAGGGCCTTTGGCGTCATGGATGGAGCAGCTGGTGAGGAGGCTGGAGGCGGTGTGGGTACTGTGAATCCACCGGCCTGCAGACACAATCACAAGCGTTGTTGTGTCATAGATCTTAACAAGGTTTGACATCCTCTGCCCTCAACAAGAGTGACGCTACAAAAAACATCTCAAATCTTTCATATTATTCTGAAATTTGCTATCGTGCACTTTGTTACTTTAAGGATATGAGATTACAGCTGGGTATCTCACTGATTACACAAATCCATTCTTCTCTATTTCTGATTTGAATCGATTCACTTAAGGTCGGATGAGGAAGAAATTCTTAGAGAACTAAAGTTGTCAACTGAGCAGGGAAACCTCTGACTTGTGCATTATTAAAAATATTAAGGTAGCTCTGTCATGACAAATAAAATCGTTCCTTTGACATTTGGCTCAGGGTTTATGGAACCAGCTGTGAACAGGATGGTCATGATTTGGACAACACACATTTCTCTCGTGTACTGAGGACTAAATGATGATTTTCATTTTTCAGGACGTGTAAATGCAGCCTCATTCACTCAAACACTGAGTTACTTCATGTACTGATCAGGTCCTGATAACTGATGAGAAACTGTTTTCACTGTTCTTTAACAAAGTCACTGACCGGCTGCTTCACGTGAACGGACTCTGATCCTCTTACTTCACTGTGTGTGTGTGTTGCTTCTGTGTGGGTGAGTGGGGGCGGGGCCTGTGTCTGTATAAATTCCTCCCTGCTCCCAGTGTGAGGAGTCTGGGAGCGTACACACACACACACACTTACATTTGACACAGAAACACCTAAACCTGGTGAAAATACAACTGCGTGCTGTTTTCAACATATTAAGAGAATCAGATTGTCAGACAGATCTGGAATCAGATTGAATTTGTTTGTCCTACCAGCTGAGCTTTGGTCTGCTCCAGCTCCAGCTCAATCTTCTTCTGCTGAAGCTCCAGAAGTTGTTTCTGTTTGGCCAGCAGCTGCTGTCGGATGAGCTGCTCCTGGGTCACGCTGGATTGGCTGACGACAGGGACTGTCTGAGGAGCAGGCGCCACCACTGCTGCTGCTGCTGCTGACACCGGCGCCGCTGGCTGGGAGGGAACTGGCTGCGGAGAGGAGGCCTCCTCAGACTGGACACACAATGTCGTCACAGAGGGTCACAGGAGGAACGGAGGGAGAGAAACAGAGAAACAGCATGAGGATTTACAGCTCTGTCTTCTGTCACAGGGAACAAAGCCTCTGTGGGTTTTAGGAATCTTTTACACCTTGTTTGTTTCAGACTTTTGTGTTTAGTCTGAACCTAAATCTCAGGTGTGGAAGGTTCCTCAGACCAACACACCTAAATTAAGTCCAGCCAAAAGAGGAGGTCTGGATCAAACTAAACCATGGTTTGGTTTCAGAGTGACAACACTTTCATGAAGCCAGAACTCACCACATCACATAGAAACAATGGAACAAACACGTGAAGCTGCTCAGAGATGTCCACTTTGATTTACAGGCATTTTTCATTGTAGCTGTTTTCACACGTGAACTGTGTCAAATGTGTCCTGACATGTTGTGTAGACGTGTTGTGTAGACGTGTTGTGTGGTCATGTTGTGTAGACGTGTTGTGTAGTGTAGACGTGTTGTGTAGTCATGTTGTGTAGTTGTGTAGTCGTGTTGTGTAGTCGGTGTGTAGATATGTTGTGTAGTCATGTTGTGTGGTCATGTTGTGTGGTCATGTTGTGTAGACATGTTGTGTAG